GTATATATATGTATGCATATATATATATATGCATATATATATGTGTGTATATGTATATATATATATATACATATATATATATATATATATATATATATATATATATATATATATATATATATATATATATATATATATATATATATATATATATATATATATATATATATATATATATATATATATGTATATTATATTTATGACAAAGGTGACTATAATGCCATTAGTGAAGGCCTAAAAGCGATCAATTGGCCGAACTTATTCACAAATAAATCAGCAGATGAAAGCTTTATTTAAAAACATTTACATTTCATTGGTTGATCATCACATTCCCAAATATAATATGTCTTTTAATTATAAAAAACGTGATCCAAAATGTTTTTAATTCTACTTTTAAAGCGGCAACTAATGAAAAATTTAGACTATTTATGAAATTACGCTGTTCTTCAAGCAAATTTAAAGATAGTATTATAGTCTTGTACAACAAACAAAAACGTCTGGTGAAAAAGCTTGTTGCTGATGCTGTACTAAAGTATGAGAGTGAAGTCATTTCCGCTTGTAAGTCCTGTCCAAAAAAGTTTTATTCTTATATAAACAGCCAAAAGGCTTGTAAAAATGAAATTCGATCTCTTTTTGACCACGATGGATTGCAATTAGTAGATAATATGTCTATTGCAAATTGCTTAAATAATCACTTTTTAAAGCTTTTTCATTACCTGAAACTCACTCCAAAGCTCCTGATTTTCCTCGAAGAACCGAAATAGTTTGCTCACCAGTTCACTTGTTCAATTGTTGCAATATTGAAAAACTTTTATCTGCTTTTGACTCTTCAAAAGGCACTGGTAATGATGGAATCCATCCTAGAGTGCTAAAAATGTGCTCTAAAGAATTCAGTGTGCCTCTCTCTCTCCTGTTTATCAAATCGTTTGATTCTGGACAAGTACCGTCTGGTTGGAAACTGGCTAATATAACGCCAATATTTAAAAAGGGTCAGCGTTTTGATCCTGGAAATTACAGGCCTATTTCCCTCACCTCAGCAATTGGAAAAGTAATGGAGAAAATAATGCGGGATGTCATGACTGAACACCTAGTTAAGCATAATCTATTATCTTGCCATCAACACGGTTTTGTCAAATCTAGATCGTGTGTCACAAATCTTCTTGAAGTAATGG